AGGCCCCTCCCAACCCAGACTTCACTTTGCATAAATGTGTCAAGGGCCACAGTTCAGCATCCCTCCTTCTGAACAGTGTGTAAATATGACTAAAAATAGTCTTGAGAATGTTTTCATGTTTACTTTAAAATTCACATTTCTCGTGTGGTAAGGGGGTATCAGGCAGTTACAGCTGATAGACGTGGAAGAAGTTCTGAAGAGAGAATCGGGACTGTGGGTGAGCTCGGTAGCAGAGCTCCTACCTGGCGTGCACAAGGCCCTGGGTTTGATCCCCAGCACCACAAAAACAAAAATACATAAGCAAAAATAGAGCTTTTATAGCCATTAACTTGGGAGTACTGGGGTCCCAACTGGCCCTAGTGAAAGCAGAGGAGCTGTTACAGAGAAGGGGCAGGGTGCTGTGGGGCTGACCCAAAGGCAAAACTCTGGCTCAGAACCTGAGAAAGAGAAAGAGAGAGGTCTTGTTAAGGTATTGCAGGTTTCAGAGGTGGAACTTACAAAACCCCTCTGTGCTACCTTTAACCCCTTCAGCCCCTCAGCAGTGCTACCTCAGTACTGAAAACACTCTGAGATCCCTCATGTTCAAGGGAGTCTGTGGCATTGGAAACTTGAAGAATATGTAACACTCATTCTTGTGAATCCCAGCCATATATAGGAGGTTTTGAGGGTAGGAAAAAGAGTTAAGAAGCTTGTTCTAGCCCTCCTTCATGTTTTGATGTAGCAATGTTGACATTTCTTAAAAAAGCCCTTGTAGGGGAGTTAGGAAGGACCAAGGCATTAGCTGGAAATTCTGTGCACTGCTTCCTTGTTAGTCATTGCTGTGGGAGAGAGATGGCATTTCCTCAGGCTGTCTCTACACTCAAGCCCTCTTATCCCATCTGCATGATTTTTGCGAACCCACATGTGTTAGTTCCCTTCATGAACTGCCTTCATGTCATGTCTCGGCCTCCCCAGCCTGGTATGAAGAAGATGTTTATTTTTGTTTCTTCTTGCTTTTTTATTTATCTATTGTCTACATTTGAATTTGTGTTTTGGTGTGAGGTAAGGATTTGATTTCTTTTCCATACAGGGAGTTATTGATGTGTTGTTTAAACATCAGTTATTAAGTGAGTCTGTGTCCTCAGTGATTGATGCTATAATCCTTCGAATTCCTACTTCGAAACAATCAGCACTACTGTGGTCGGATCTGTGGCAGCCCGCAGCCACCTTGAATTTGGCTTTCTGTATTTTGGCAGGTTAACCCTTTGGCCTTCTGTATGGCGCCTCTGGCCTCCCAAGAGCTCCAGTTCAGTATCATCTTCTTTGGTGTAGCCGATTGTGTTATTATTTAAGCATTCTGTTTTATTTTGATAAAAATTAATGGGAAAAAGGAGGAAAGCGAATATTAGTTAAAAGGTAGGCCTTAATGTGTTGTGTACTTGAGAAAAAGAGAGAAATCATTTAGGTTGCAAAAGACTGGCAAGCCTTTCTCCACAACCCTAGGCTAGTGCTGTGGTGGGCTAACCTATGGCATGGAGTGGGCTGTTTGTTAGCACTGAAAGCTCTAAAAGGTTCACCATCCCTGACTTAAGGTAGACTGCAAAGGAGAAGAGCCATATTAAGGAGTCTACACACAAGTGTGGAAATAAGTATGTAAGACTCCCTGGATAGGAAAGGAAATCTCTTGGCTGAAATGGTGCCAAAGGTTACATAAAGATGATGGAGGCAAGACAACCCAAGGCAAATCTGGCTGAAGGACATGGTTGTTTCGGCACACACCTCCCCGCTGCTCTTCCACCCTTGTGATTTACCACTAAGTGCAGTGTGTCCCAAAGAGAACCTGTGTAAAGCCTATAAAACTGCAGGCCACACGAAGGAAAGAAAGAAAGAAGCCCACTCCATTATTTTTCATTCTGGTTTCCTAAGTCCATATCATAAGTCCCGTGTCCTCTCTTGGCCCCATATAAATTTATCATCTCATCCTGTTGAAATTCACCACTGACACATACCCCTCTGAAGTCACTTCAGCTGCCTTTGTCATTACTCTGGTCCAGGGTCAGTCTCCTCCCACATGCACACTTGCCTTCCAGGTGGCTGTCTTCACCCTGCAGCCAGAATGATCTGTTAAGGAGACAGAGTCCAGTTGTGTCAGCACCTCTCTCTGACTGGGACCTTTCATGGGCACCATGTTGTTGGGGGAGGGGACCGTCAGCGACAAAGCCACTTTTCATTATGGCTTCTCTCATGGTCTCCAGTCTCTTTCCTCTTCTGAGAACCATGCGGCACAATGCTTCCACTAGGTCCAATCCCACGGGCTCTAGATTTCAGAGAAGCCTGTCATGTGCTCTAGATAAGGTTACACCCAATCTGTGCTCCCTTGACGCTGTATGACACTGTCTTTCCTCTTTAACACTTGTCCCCCGCACAGGGCCACATACTTGCACGATCATTTGATTGGTATTTGCTTCCTTCTCTAGGCTATCAGTGCTAGCTGTGCTGCACCCTTGCCATTTCCACTCATTCTGTCCCTCGTGACTGGCACAAAGGAAGTTCCTGTTTGCCTTGCTGGCAGCCTAGCCTGGCAAATAGAGTTCACCAAGAATTTGTTTACATTTTTAAATAATATTGACTCAAAATGTTGTTTTTCTGATTTTCATTTATAGATTTACTGTCCCCATCATATTAATAAAATGCTCTTCAGTTGAATTTTATTTTTTTATTTTTTTTACTGTCCACACAAGTGTTTATTTGTCATGAGAATTTAAGTATTCCTTAGCCCACGTATTCATGTTCCATAGTTCAGGAACACTGATCAGTGACAAACGTCTATAGAACTCAGTCCAAAGAAACCTTTTTATTCCTACATCACTTTGCACTTTGAAAGACACCAGCCTTCCTCATTTCTTCAAAATCTTTCATGGAATCATAATTTCTGTAGAAATTGGCATATGCCTTCTTTCTTGGTTCAGCCCCACCAAACTTCTAGAGAGTTGCATCCCCAGGGAGACAACGAGCGCTCCAATAGTATGAATCCGCAGGCGCCTGGCCAGAAGCCCCGCATCTGGGGTTTGGCCAACACACTGGAACTCATGGTCGTTCTGTCCTCCACACTGATGTCCTTTCCGGCTGATGGAGGAAAAACCTCATCTTTTGCCTTTAGAGTGGTCTTTTTATATGCCTTGCTTGGCATCTGAGTCTCCAGAATGCCATAGGCTAGAAATCATGGAAAATGATAAGGTCTGTTAGTGTGCATTTTCCATTTAATTATATGGCTATCACAGTGCATGTATACATGGCGCTCAATATGTTTGTTGACTTATTTATTATTATTTTAATTTAAGCATACAATGATAGTACACAGTTTTGAGAGGAAAGGAAAAAATTATACCACTTAAACTCAAACTCTGTTACAGTTTTATTATGTTAGGTTCCAAGTTTTGGTTGTTGGTGGTGTTTTTTGTTTGTATACTTGCTCGCTCACTCCTCCCTCACTCGTTTGCTTGCTTGTGTTTTCAGTGCTCGGCATTTTACTGTTTTGCACGCTAAGCTAGCACCATACCCCTGAACTACAACCCCAGGCACCTTTTGGTCTATTTTATGTGCTTTGTTAACCTTACCATAATCACAGTATATATAAAATTTTGTGGCCTGCTTTTTCCTAAATACCTTATTGTTGATTGAGCAAAGCATTATATTATATATAATATGTTAGGTGAGCCTCGTTTGTCAGTTCAGTTAGTATTTATGAAAAATACAAGGAACGAGGCCCATTTTGTAGCCTGACAGCACTCAGAGAATGCACACTGGTTTGGTGACCAGGTGGCTACCACAGTTAGAAAGGTAGCAGGCTGCCACAGTTAGATCTTAGTGATATTCTTACAGCACAAATATATTTTGTGGTACCTTGTGTCCTTCCTGGAAGAAAGAATAAGCAAGACAGATTCTCTCTATTTATTTAACAGGGTTTTTCTTCATTTACTCAACAGACTGATGAGGGCTTACCTCCATGCTGGGCATAGTCTACATAGTAGAAATTCAGCAGTGGATGAAAGTTTCTGTATTCCAGTGGGAGAACACACACCCACAGGATTGAGTGAATGAATGAATGAATGAATGAATGAATGAATGAATGAATGAATGAGCCAGATGATAAGTAGGAAAAAAAGCACAGCTGAAAAGGGTGCTGAATGGCCTGGAGGGAGGGCTGCCCCTTTCCAAGGTCAGGGAAGGCCTCCTGTGCCAGTGATATTTGAGCAGAGACCTGAATGGATGGAGCTGTGCAGCTGTTGTGAAGGTTTTCCTGACAGAGACACCCTTTGGGAAAAAAGTCCCTGAGGTCGCAGCACGTGTGGTGAAGGTTGGTCAGGAGCTGAGGTCAGTGGGCTGGTGGGTGGGGTTGTATTAGCCTGAAGCCCCTGCCTCTTCCTCCACCCCTCAGTCCATCCCTGCCTTAGCAGGACTGCCCCCTTCTCCAGCCTGCACTGTCCCTCTGAGGCCCCTCACTTCCCACCTTTGGCACCCTCTGGATGAGTGACCCTGTGCCATACTTCCTAGACTGTGTCTCAGGCACAGGGTATTATACTAACAGGAAGTGCTCATTTCATCATCCTTCAGACCTGGCCAGCAGTGTTGGGAGGAACTAGGCAGATTCCTCACATTTGAAAAACTATAGAACTTCTCTCTCATTTCTTGGTCTTTTACTCAGTTGAGATAGTTGTTCCTTTCTAGTGACCTGATGTCTTCCAAATTGCATAAAAACTTCACCTTAGTGAGGCTTACCGTCAGTCTGTAATTATTAAGCATGATTCAACCTCTCCCAATCTAGAAGCCAGCTTTGTTTTTCAGATTTTGTTTTTTGGGTGGGGGGAAGCCTAATTATAATCTTCTTGAATTGCTTTAGGGTTAGATCTGTCACATGCCGCCTTAAGAGCCCATTAGCAGGCTTAAAACATTCATTTCTGAAAGAACAAACTGTTACAGGTTGCTTGGGGTAATTGATTTCTTTTGTTTTCTTGTTACAGGAGGAGACATCACAGTTTTCCCAGATCGGGAGAAGAAATATGGAATGTGTTTTACCGCTGACTGAACACAACCAAATGAACTGTCCTGACAGTAGTTTGAAAGCCAGCAGTTAGCAGTTTGTTCAGGCGCTAACACTGTCCAGCACTTTCCAGAGCAAGCTCACTGTTTACAAGAACTCTCAGCCTTACAAAGCTTATAACCTCAAGCTTTGTTTATTTAAAATATTCTACGAAAGAAAAGTACCCAGGACCCATTTTCCAAAATGGCCATGGAGGAATATTTGTGGATGGTCATTTTGGGTTTTATTATAGCTTTCATCTTGGCATTTTCTGTCGGTGCAAATGATGTGGCCAATTCATTTGGTACCGCTGTGGGTTCTGGTGTGGTAACCTTGAGACAGGCATGCATTTTGGCTTCAATATTTGAAACCACTGGCTCTGTGTTGTTGGGAGCCAAAGTAGGAGAGACTATACGAAAAGGTATCATTGACGTGAACCTGTACAACAAGACCGTAGAAACGCTGATGGCTGGGGAAGTTAGCGCGATGGTTGGTGAGTGGCTTTCCTCTTCACACCCAGGGAGGTGTGTCACAGACCGGCTTCTTGCTTTTGCCATATTCAGAAATGTGGTTTTTGTTTTCATTTTACAAAAACTGGTTTGATGTTCATTTTTTGATTTTTGTTCTCTATATTTTATGATTTTTAAGGTTTAAAATATCAAAAATATTTTATTCAAACTCTAGCAATCTTGGTGGTCAGAGTAGATTTTTTGACTAAGTGAATACTATGCCAAAGTACAGAAAAAAATACTTCTGAAGTACTTGATTGTTTTAAAGTTAATGAACTATTTGAGAAAATATATATGAATGTACTTTAAAGAGTTACCCATGAAATTTCCTTGAAAGTTGATTTACATTTCTTAAAGAATTTTCATCTGTTTTAGGTACAGTGTTTTAAATTATGAATGTGAAAAAAAATTATGTGGGGGTTAGGAGGTAGGGCTCAATGGGGAGTATCTGCCTAGATACTGTATGCCCTGAATTTGATCCCTAGCACTCAAAAAAAAAAAAAAAAAAACCCAAAACAAAACAGACTGATATTTACTGGGTGCAGAGTGTTTTTAGCTACAGAATACATGCTCCGTAGCATGCACAGGGCTCTGGGCTCAGGATTCAATGCTAAAAAGCCAATGGAAACCCCTACTATTTATGGATTTACCTTTTGTGTTCTCAGCTTAAGTTCTATAGCTACTACCAAATGAATCTTAATGAAATGCTTACGTGTCAAGAAATTTTGGTCTTCTGTGTTATTTACAATCCTTTGGCTTTGGCTTTGGTTTTCTGATGTTATCTCTTGAAGCTCCATTTCATATGTGTGCTTTCTTTTTTGGCCAAAAAAAAAAAAAAAACAACAACCCTGTATGTTACCTATGAATAGTCCAACCTTTTATTGATGGTTTTTATTGTCTGGAAAAAAAAAAGAATGGAGGTGAGTGAACTGTGAATTAGCAGAGAGACTGGTTGGACAGCGTGACTTCTCCCCAGCCAGTGAGCATAGACTCAAAGCACTATGGGGCCACTTTGCTTACTGCCTTCACTACAGTAGCAAGACAACATCCAGGCAGGAATGGGCAGAGTGCAGCTGACAGGACTCTTTCTCTGCTTGCCTCTAGGTAGAGATGACGTCACAGCAGACAGCTGATCTTTACGGGTAATTTGGTTAGGGAGAAGAGGGTTAGAGAGGAATTCTACCACCTTCTGCTTCCAACAGGACATATCCTTTTGTAGGAAGAGTCCTGCAGTAGGAGGTAAGATGCTGGTGTACCCAGAACACAGACACACTCCACAGGTCCCTAGTTATTTATGGTGTCACTAGCATTCCTTCAGCATCCCAAATGTGGAGATTATTTGCCCAATGGAAGGTGGCCCACCATCTTCCTGTGACAGCAAGTTATAGACAGTATTGAAGGATCTGATGAGAAGCAGACCAATATACTAAGGTGCTCAGTGTCTGGTAAGGTTAAGCACAGTAGTCTGGTAAGGTTCAAGATCATTGATTCAAGCTGCTGTCATGATTACTGACTTACTTTTACTAAACATGTATTTCTCATGATAGATAGAACTGAAATTTCTCTTAGGAAAATAACTGCTGCTCATAAAATTCACCCTTGATATTTGTGATAGATATCTAAGCTTCAGTCGTATTAACCTGAAATTAAGATTTTTCTCATCAGGGTGGCATGGCAAGATGTAATGAAAGTACAGGAGGAGTAAAGAAATGGCAAAATTCCATCTCCACTGAAATTTTTCATATTGTTGGATAAAACTTTCCAGAAATGATTGTGCTTATTAGAGTTTTGTTTCTGAGGACTTTGGCTGGACAGAAAGCTTAGTGAACTTTACTTTTCACTTCTAACTTTTCATATGGCCAATACATCTTGTCCAATTGTTCAGTTTTCCCACCCATGGCCTTTGGTTCTTTAGTAAAAGAATGAAAGATAACTTACCTCAACTAGAATTTGGGTTTACCAAAGCAATTTGAGGTTTTGCTTGAATAACATGGTTGTTTGATTTTTTCTTTTCTTTTTTGGCATGAGGTTAGATGAATCTCAAAGCTTATTTTGCTGGGAATTTGTATAAATTGCATTTAATTCCTTGAAAATAGAAACTATGTAAAGATGGTGATATAATTATTATTGGCCAAAACCAAAGCTAATTCTGTTCAGATGCCTAAATTCTCCCAGTCTTCCTCTTCTAAATTCTGTCTCTGTTTTTTTCCTCTCTCTATCTGTCTCTCTCTTCTTCCCTCTCTCCTTCCCCTCCCTCCACCCCCCTCTCTCTTCTTGTTCCTTACTCTTTTATTCCATTTTCTCTTTTTTCTTCAGTAACTTCTCCTCAAGCCTACAGACCTCTGTGCTTCCTCATGGCTGACGTTAGAGTTAAGTTGGTGGGTAGAGGACACTGTTCATGCTAGCTGTGAACTGCCTGAACAAGTTTCATGCTGAACCCTAAACCATTATCAGTATACTTACAGTGAAACCACCACTGGTTCCAAAAACCTCCTGAGAATTGACAACTCAGCTTTTTTAATGGAAATCCCATGCCAGCATGAACAAGCCATCTCGAACCATCAAAGAATGCCGAGGCCCTGCCCGAGCTCAACACCCAGGACTGCTGGGCCCTTCCAGCCACTGCTCACCCACCCCTGCTTTCCTGTTGTGCTCTGTTCTTCTCTATACCTACCTGTCATGTCCACCATGATGCCTGAACCTGCTGCCTTAGAAATGTCATGTCCCAATTTTCCCTAGGTTTTGTCTTGCATCCTTATCCCATACTAATTCCTTTCCTTTTTGTAGAATGCATTATCTTACACAAAACATCTCTTTCCCCACTTGTGTTTAATGAGTGTAACCTCTTTAGAATCAGCAGTTCTGAGGTGAGGAGGCCTTTCTACTGCCAGGCCTCCAGGGATACCTGGCTCCCACTGCCCTCTGTGAAGCTGTCCCTTCCCTCCCTCTTCACCACTGTCCCCCTTGCTCTGCTTCGTCCCAGTGCAGGCAGTACCCACATTCCCCACCTTCCCCTGCACACTGTCCTCATCTAGGTCGTATGTTACAGAGCCAGCCCGAGAGGGACAGTAACTTCCAGGAAGGACAGTCTCCTAGATGAATGCACCGGAGTGAGTGTGTACCATTCTTCTACATCAGGAGACTATTCGATTTTTGTAAGAATGCTAAAGCAGAAAGTTTATTTTCTGGGCTGTAAAACATGCTCAAAACTCTAACTTTATTTTTAGAGTAACCAGTCCCTGTGGTGCCCAGGGCTCAGCTGTGCCCAGGGGAATTATCCCTGGGGGAGCAGTCTCTGCCTTGGAGCCCAGTCCTGTTCTGGCAGCCCAGGCTGCAGGGTTTGACAGAGTCACAGCCGCCCTTGGCGCAAAGGTCAGCATAGTGCACCCTCACTGAGCAGCTGTCCGTGTTACCTCACACTGGAACCGGTGCAGTCCTAAGTGACCCTTCTAGAATTCAGACATCTTTGAAGAGATGCCAGGGGGCTGCCGAGCAGTGCTGCTGCTGCTGCTGCTGCTGCCATGCAACCAGGTTTCTAGAATTAACATTTGGGATTAGCCTGCCAGCCAAGCCCTTTGTTCCCATATGGTTCTGTACAAGCTTTTCCACAGCCGCTTCTGAAAGTGCTCCGTCCCAGCTGATGCTTTTAATACTCACTGCAAAGGCTGATCTGCTTATGAAAATATCCAGTGTGAGCTGCAGCCCAGAAAATAGTAAATGCAGGAGAGGAGGCGAAACCAGGGAGGGCGCCTGACACTCTCAGGCAAGACTGAGGGCTGGCCCCCAGCTGTGAGTTCAGCGTCATAGTTACTGTAAGTGGCACAGCCCAGGGCTGGTCTCTAACCCTCGCATTCTGGGACTGGAAGATGTAACTTTAACGCAGTCCCTCAGTATGACGTCCTTATCTCTGTGTGTAGCGATTCTTTCATCCCGCAGTTGATTTTGGCCAAATTCCACATGAGAACAGGTTCAGCAGCAGCTCCTCACCATCATGTGATGAAGGTGATTAACAGCAAGCCTCAGGAGACCCTAATGTGGAGAGCTTTGTAGTACTTGATGCTTACATTCATTGTGGGAATCGGTACATGTATGTAAATACATCTTAATTCTTGTTTTCTCCTTCTCCTTCACCTTTTTTTTTTTGTTTTTGCCAGCATCAGATTATTTGTAAGGCCTTATAAAATTAATTATATATTAACAACCAAATTAATAGGCAAAAAACATAAAACACATAAGACAGTTATACTAAATCAAGGTACACTTTTATATATGTTGTCTTACTGGATTACAATAACTTCTCTTTTTTCCTATTATCCATCTTTTATTTTGCATTTTGTTCATATACTGAGTTTCTCATATAAGAGAATCCATGCAATATTTAAGTTTATGTGTCTGATTTACTTCACTTAACATCATGATTTCGAGGTGTATCCATTTTCCTACAAATGACTCAAGTTTATCCTTCTTTAAGGCAGAGTAGTACTTCACTGGGTAGAAATACCACATTTTCTTTTTCTGTTCACCTCTTGATGGACATATAGGCTGCTTCCAAGATTCAGTTATTATGGGTTGTGATGCTATAACCATACGTATTCATAAGTCACTGTAATACATCTTTAACTCTTTTGGGAAGACACCTAGAAGAGGAACATCTGGGCCAAATGTTTTTTGTTAGAACTTTTGCATATTGTAAAGAAACAATCCATGGAAAATTGAGCTCAGGGAGATGTTATAGAGAATAACAATTTGGATTTTCCCCTTGATGGCTATGACTTGGCTGTGTCTGACTATTTTAATCTTTCATCCTACAGGTTCAGCTGTTTGGCAGCTGATTGCATCCTTCCTGAGACTTCCAATCTCAGGCACTCATTGCATTGTTGGTTCCACTATAGGATTCTCACTTGTTGCAATTGGCACAAAAGGTGTGCAGTGGATGGAACTTGTCAAGATTGGTAATTGCCATTTTCTTTTACCTATAGGAAGGAAAATGTACCTGTACTAGAGTAAGTTTTACAAAAAGTTACTTTTATAATGTGTTTTTTTTTCCTTCATGTATTAAGATTTAGAAGGCCTCTGTGGTACTGGTAATGCTTTTTGCCTTCAACATCCTGTGAGTGGAGATGTAGTGGAGAACCCTATATCAGACCCCTGGTCCTGAGGAAGCCTTAGGAGGAGGCCAGGGCTTGGTACCCTGCAACTGCCCAGGAAGAAGCTATATAGTCTAGTGCCTCTTCCAGGCAAGGGCTGCCAAGCAGACATAGGCCTGTACCCAGTCCCAGTGTTCTGCTGAGGCTCCCCTTATAGCAAGAGGTAAATACCCTCAACCCTGTGCATACTGACGTGTGCACTGTGAGGAATGTTCTCTACTCTACCTCAGTCCCCTGGATAGTTCATTCTTTTACTGGAATGAACTATCAATTTCCTACAAATAACTCAAGTTCAATCTTCCTTATGACAGAGCAATACTCCACGGTTTATATATAAATAATACATTTTCGTTCTCTGTTCATCTGCTGGTGTACAAACAGGCTGCCTCCATGACTTAGCTATTATGAATTGTGCTGCCTTAAACACTGATGTGCATCCGGTTCTCTAGATCAGACTGCATCCCTGACTCGCCCAGCAGGGTCACAGACCACCACGAAAGCCATCTAACCTCCAAGGCTTCTGAGACACTGGCTCTCAACTCTGGCAGCACATAAGAAGTCCCTGGGGGGTGCTATTTACAAACTAATGCCCAGACTTCCTTATGTGCTATGTCAACTAATCAGGATTCTAAGAGAACAGCCACATGCACAGCTGATTTGCGAAACTCCCCAAGGGCCCAGGGTCAGCCACAGCAGGAAGCTTCCAAGCAAGAAGCTAGAAGGTGGAGTGTGTCTGTGGTTAGATGCCAGGAATGTCAGTACCAGGCTGGACTGGGTGCAGGAAGGGAAGTGGCCCACCTTTTGAGTAGGCTTTCCTGTCTGAACAGGTGCTGGGTCTCTGTAGAGATGGATTTTGAAAAGCAGGTGGAAGGGTCCTGTGAGAAGCCAAGGCATCTGTGTTATGGCCTGGACAAGCCCGAGAGGCCTGGGCTCATGTCCTAGCAGAGCAAGCCGTGGAGAGGCCGAGAGGGCTGGCCGGGCCTGAGCTAAAGTGAACAGTTCTGGAAATACCTATAACATCTAACAGCGTGCATTGCTATCACTATGTTATATTGTGATTACAGCCTCAGTTATGTATGAATTTAACATTCACCAGATTTTTTTTAATTATTCAGTTGCTTCTTGGTTTATATCTCCACTGTTGTCTGGTTTCATGTCTGGCGTGCTGTTTGTACTGATCAGAATGTTCATCTTGAAAAAGGTAAGTGAGGCTGTTATTTTATATTAACATTTTACAACTATTTTTGGTTCTCCTAATAGGAATTCACAGTGGGAGAAGTGGAGGGAGAATTGTCTTTGCACAGCTAAGGCCAGGCACCTGGGACTTTAAAGTCACAGCACCTGACTAAAGTCAGATGTGACCAAGAGTTGCTAGGCGTGTCGACGTGGACTGCCCCAAGGCCCTTCAGAGCCAGCCTCTCTAGCAGCTCTGCTTGGCTCTGGGATTGAGTTCATCAGTCAGCACTTCCAGGAGCTGTGCTCAGCTTCAGTAAGGGCAGGTGATCTTGTCCTAGGTGTTGAACAGAATGGAATGAGATAGTGTGAGATTCCCAGGTCAGCTCTCATTAAAGATAGCTGAAGAGGCTTCTTTAGAGAAAGAAAACTGGAACATTGACTTTGTTTGAGGAAAGGATATACAAAGAAGGAAATATACTTGTACCAGGGTATAGTTTGTCTAAAAAGAAATAAGATTAAAATTAGAATTTACTGAGATCATTGTCTGAAAAAATGTTATTTTTTTTTCTTGACTATAAAGGAGCATTTGTGATATATTTTTCTTTTTAAAGTGTAGCTTAATTTTTAAAATCCACACATTTGTACTTATTTATGGGGCCTAGTGTTGTGTTTTGATGCACGTATACAAAGTGTGATGATCAAAGGTTAATTAGCTTTTCCATTGTCTCAGATAGTACCTTATCTATGCTCTGGGGACCTCCAGACTTTTCTCTGAATATTTTGAAATGAATACTGAAATATTCATTATTTGCCTTATTGTGTTGTACACATTAGAACTATGTGTTGCCTTTATGTCAACACATAGTCACCCCAAATAAACAACTTAAAGAACGAAAGCTTGCTTTTATGAATGAGTGAAAACATACAGTTCTTGACTTACTGTGCCTGGCTGCTTTCACTTAACATAATGTCCCAATCCTGTCACAGTGCCTACATCACCCCCTTCACTTCACTCCACAGATAGCCACAGTATTGCCTCACATTATTAACATAAGGAAAAAATGAGTGGAGTTGATGAGGTATTTTGAAAGAGAGAGAAAATACATTCATAGAACTTCAATTAGTTATTATTGTTAACCTCTTTCTGTACCTAACTGATAAACCTATCCTGGGGAGGTTGGTAGAGGAAAAATGTAGTGTAGTATATATGGGGATCAGTGCTCGCTAGGGCCTCAGGCACACCCTGGACGTCTGGGAACATTTCCACACACGTTCCGAAGTACTGCTAAGTGAACACTTGCTAGCACATCAAGCATACCATTCTTAAGAATACAGCTCTTCTCTTAGTATCACCCGGGCATTGGCTGAAGGGCTCATTCCCTTGAGTAAGCACAGTTTCTAAGGACCACTATTGGGCAGAAGACTCATTAAGGCAGTATCTTTAAGCTATTTGACTGTCTTAGAGGATCCTCAGAACTTGGCCTCCAGGTATTTGTCCAGTGTAGACATTCCAGGGCAGACATGTGCTCAGCTAGAGCGGAAAGCTCCACAGGCTTCATGGAGGATTTGCTGAGCTCCCCTCCGAGTTCCTTTCAGTTTCTGCCCCTAACATCAGCTCTTGTGATGCCGGGCTTTAATGAGCCTGCTGCCCAACAGTGATCCTTAGAAACTGCTGTGTAGGAGAGATGCCTGACCCAGCCCTTTGTGTAGACATGCAGCAGCTCACAGGACTTGGTGCAACCACCTTTTTGCTGCACTGGGGCTTGGGAGACTTTCTAAAAGTGTCCTCTGTCATCATGTTGTCACAGGAGACATGCTTCTGAGTCCTGACCTCACACTTTATGTCCTTGTTACACAGGAAGACCCTGTTCCCAACGGCCTCCGGGCACTTCCTCTCTTCTATGCTGCTACCATAGCAATAAACGTCTTTTCCATCATGTACACAGGAGCACCAGGTAAGAATTCCATGGAAGCTGAACCCACTAGGCGGGGCACATTGTTTCTGATGGCATTGATTTGTTTGGACCTGGCATTGTTTGCTTACAATGGAAAGCATTACTCATGGTCATTGTGGAGTAGTGAAAGTTATAAATTCATTGGTTCGTTTTAAATACCCAAGATATATATGAGGCACAAAGGCAATGGGCTTTCAAGTTAAAAAAAAAAGTTTTTAAAAAAGTAAACTAAAAGAATTTAAACTCCTTTCTATTGCAAATCCAGCTGGGTTGCCTTAGCAGCAGGCTCACCTTCTGAGCCTTTGAACTAATACCCACTGGGCCAGCACACGCCTGTGGGGAATGCGCGAGAGGCATGTGGGCGTGCCTGGCACTGTGCAGGTGTAGGTGAGTACAACAGTGACTGCGCATGCATGTGTGGGTGTGGACATGCAGGGCTGTATGTGTGTGCACATGCGCGTGTGCACACACGCATGCATGTCTGTGTTGCTCACTCCAGAGGCCCCAGTGAGGAGATGCAACTCCTGGACCTTGTACTGAAGTCATTGATGATTTTCTGTTCACAGTTACCTTTTTTGTCCTATTCTGGTTTAGAATTTGGGGCTTTTAAAGGGAGCGTCTTGCTTCCTTGTCTCCTTCCAAATGTCAGACCCCTTGTTTTTGTGCTGTTTGATTATACATTAGCTGAAAGAGCCATCTTATTGGGAGTGTAACGTATTCTGGGAAAATTAAGCTGAATAGTGGGTGAGACACTGAGGACAATGCAGGTGCGCCCCGGGGTAGCTGTGAGAATAGATGATCCAGCGTGCTGGAGCTGGGCTCCGCATGAAGGAACCCTCCAGCTCCCTGCTCCTCAGAAGGCTGGTGATACTGCAGATAGAAACAGTGTGCCAGTGTTAGCTCTTGTAGGTAGGAACATGTGGGACCAGAATTTGGAGAGGGCAACCTACTACATTGTGAGATAGCTTAAGAAAAATGCTCAGCTTAGCTCCTTTTATGTCCATAATGTTGCTAATACTGACAAGAAAAAAATCAATTGACCTTAACAAATTCTAGGGGCTGGGGAGATGGCTCAATGAAATAAGTGCTTCCCTGGCAAGCGCAAGGGCCTGAGTGCAATCCCCAGTTCTGCAAAAAAAGAAAAATGAAAAAAAAAAACCAAATTCTATCTCTTAAAGGTCTTTGAAAATGTCTTCTAATATACTTGGGTACCCTAGTTGTATATATTTTGTATATAATTAATATACTTGTTAGTGTGAAGGGGTAGCCATCTTCTTAATTAGGAATCTTTAAAATCTGTGTAAGGAAGTTGAAGATCATTGTTCAGTAGATGCTCAGCAGTATTCCCAGGTGCTGAGATGGTGCTGAGGTACTTGGGGTAAACAGCTATCCTGACGGGAATATAGCTGCTCATCAGCCAATACCGTGTGGTAGAGCAGGGTCAGCAGGGTGTCTCTTCTGACAGGACACTGCATCCTAGGATGACGCAGGTGACCCTTCACACAGTACCTGCATGGTAGAGACTTGGGTCACATTGGTCACTATTAGCCTCATATTTTCAACCATCTGCTGACAGCAAACCCTGTGCCACCCAACTCTTCCGCCTATATCTGTATGGAAAATTTCTTATTTGAGGTTTTGTAGGGGGCTCACAGGAGAAAGGAGCTAAAGGTCATGACTGAAGGAGCAATTATTTGTTCCTCCAATGAGTCACCAAAGGACTTTGCTAGTATTTTGGCTCCCAGGAGAAGGTGGGGAATATTTCTAAACTGTCCAGTAGGTGAGTCCAGATTCTGTTGCACTGGTACTGTTCCTTGTATGAACCATCTCTACGTGTAAAAATGTATAGTAAGTAGCCATGATGATACGTAATATTTGGGGACAAGGGTCAAGCCACCTGTTCTCAGCATACATCTGCCCTTCTGCCCATCTGGAATTTATTCCCTCTACTTTCCTTCTTCATTAGAGCATTTCATGAAGCACATACAGGCTTCAGAGATAAAAGAAAAGAATAGAATTCTTTAACAAAAAGAAATGGCAGCCTTTCTTACCCAGTTTCACTTGTAAGAGATTTGGATAAATAGCATTTTTATTTGTGGAGATGAATTAAGTGGAGTTTGTTGGAATTTGGTTTTGCAGTTCAAGTCCAAAATGTTATGAGGTTGCTTAGATCTTAGAGTTAAGTTTCATTTGTTTTATTTTGCATCTGAAATAGGTGTCATTCTTATATTTGAGCTTTTTAAAAATTGTCTTTGCACTTTTATCCTAAAAATTGATTAACAAGAACTAAAAATAACATAGGAAATAACTTGCTTACTTGGGCTGGATACAAGCCTGAAGTTGATAATTAATTGAAAAAACCTGCAGTCGTGTGGGGTCTGACTGTTGCTCAGTGTTTAAACTGCGAGTGCTGAAGTCCACACATGCTTCTTGGAAGAGGCAAAGCAGATCACCTGATTAAGCCTCTGCAGTTACTGTCAGCTTCCAAGTCCCAGCAAGGTCCCCAAAGCAGCTGTGTCAGCTTCATTGCCAGCTCATCATACAGCTTCTCTGGCCCATCCCTGAACCTACTGAACTAAAAATATTGCAGGCTGGCCAATGGTGTATCAGTGGGGAGTGGTGCCCTTGTTATTATACTCTTACCTCGTTTTGACCTCCTTTTTTTTAGACAGGGCCTTCCTTATATTGCCCAGGCCTGCCTCAAACACTTAGATTCAAGCGATCCTCTCCCTGCGGCCTCCCAAGTAGCTGAGAGTGTTAGTGTGAGCCCCTGCACCAGGCTAATCACCTCATTTACTCTTTTAACTGTTAACCTTATTATAGTTCTTAGGTAATGAGTGCTCTTAGGTTCTACTAGTCATCTTTACTGGTCCTTTTCATCAGCGAATGAATCCTCCAACATAATGAGGCTCTTCCAGAGCAAGCTTGCACCTGGGAGGTGGCTGCCACTGCCTCCCTCTTCATCTTCTTTTTCTCCTTCATCTTTCCTTCTTTCTCCTCCTCTGTCTCTTTCTCCTTCTCTTCGTCTCCTCTTCTTCTGGGGAAAATCTACGCTTCACCATCCCCCAGGCCCCAGTTGGCTTTGTGAGAAAGAGCTTTTTCCTCTGAGGCTCTCTAAATTCTGTGTTGAAATTGTAAAGTACAAGCTCTGAAGAAGCCAGAAATTCCAACGTTAGTGATTCCTAGTCATGGATTAAGGAAGCCCTGGGGTGAGAAGTGCCTCGAGTTATCACCGGGAACTGGATTCAAACGTGATTTAAACTTACTCATTTCCACAATTATTATAAGTGAACCCTAGTTTGAGAAAGATGGTGCTATATTTTTAAAATCCCATTATATAGAAAATTAGGAAGTCACATATTTTGTTTCAGAAACACACTTCATTTTCTTAAAGAGTTATTCCAGCATTCCTTTTACAAGCATGGCTCTTTCAATGCCTTGAAATGTTAATTTGCAACAAAACAGAAAAAGGACTGGTAACTCAGCTATGCAGGATTCTTGTGGGAACCCCGTGCACGCCTGTGTGTATTACTGTGGGAGGTCACTGCGGGAAAATACATGCGTAGTGTATGGCCACATGTTGAGTGAAGGTGCAGGACAATAAACCTAGTCTCCTTCTGCCTCCATTGAGTTAGGAAGAAGAAAACCCTCACAAACCCCACAGTGATATTTGTATGTATCCTAAAAATGAACACATAGGAGAGTCCCCACTTTTCCCTGGGAAGTGGGCTTAAGCATGACCAAGAAATTCCATGTGTGTACATCGTATGTCTCAGCCAGAACTGCTGATATTTTTATGTGTGTATTATGTATAACATTAAAAAGTAAAATCTGCACAACTCATGATTGATTGATTGATTGTTTTTTTTTGTGTGTGTGTATTTAGTATAGGGTCTACAGGGTCTCACTACATAGATCAGACTCATAGGGACTGTCCTGTTTACAGCCTCCCAAGCTCAGGGATTATGGGTGTGTGCCACCACACCCAGTCTCAATCGCCCTCTCAGCATGCCCCGGGAGCAGGGCTAGCACGGCACACCTGGATTGAACCCTGCTCACTGCGCTCTGCCTAAGTAGGAGTGTTAGTCCACTGAGCTATCTGGCCGGTTCCCACACAGTAATTCAGTGAGGGGGTAATGAGCCGGGATGGTAGGGGACTGCTGTGGGCTGGGATCTTATTGACTTCATGTAAGTTTTATCCATTGTACAGATTCTAATAATGGTTCTGTATTTGAACATGAGATATAAAAAAGGGCTGACGGTGGAGAGGGGGGTTTTAGTGCTTCCCTGAATGACTTGGCTATTCTGCTGATCTTTGGGGGATGTAGAATATGTTCATTAAAATGTTTGAGGTCAGAACTAAATCACCATTCTTCGGGTCTTTGTTGTTCAGACATGGAAGGAGCTTGAGGTGAAAGACCTACCAGTGGCAGAGCAAGAGCCTGGGTTTGGCACCCCCAGTGCTGGCTGCTGGCGCCCACATCTAGCTGAGTGAATGCCAAAAATTCCACCCATGCCCTATTTTGTGGTCTGTGTGCCTTGCCTCTCTGCTCTTGGAAGGTGTAATTATTTGGGAACAATTTGAGATCTCATCAGAAAGACTGTCCAATACAAAGTATTTTGTCATAGATTTTGCTGTCTATAAGTCAACCTTAAGTTTTTAAAAGAAAAAAGTTTCTCATTGAGTATACATTGATTCAAGTGCTTTTATACACTGATTTATGCAACTTGATTTATGTAGTTTAGTGCTATAAAAGTAACTCTCAGTTCACAGGCTTTAAAAATAATTCCTTGTGCCCCTTCGATGCTCTGTACCTTATTACACTGGTAGAATAATTTGGTGAGATCACTGTCCTGTTCTCTGTCCTCTCTTATTAGGAACAACGTTCTTCCTGTTTGCCTGGCTTCCTTCTTTCTCCTCCCTGTACTTGTTGTTTTTACTTCCTCTCCCCACCACTCACACCTCCAGAACTGTGTCTGTGCCCTGCCCTCTCTGCTGGTTTCTTGTGACCCAGGGAGGGACCTGGAGTTTTCTGATCACTCCAGGCAAATCAATGGCAACGGCAGATAGGATGGGAAAGTACAGAGGGCAGGCAATTGGGAGTCTTACTGTCTAAGCAAAGGGGCAAAAGTCTTGAATCTGATCCCAGTTAACCCTTTTGGTTGTTGGTCCTGACCTAATCTGGGGCCCCAGATACCCTAAAAGGATGCGTGGAGGTGGGCTACAAGGAAGCACAGAAAGCTTTTGTTTGGGCTGTGCTTGACATGGCTAGAAAAAGTGAGGGCCTGACAGTGAGAATATTCATTTTATTGTTATTTCATAGTTTTGTTAGTTTGTTTTTGCCATACTGGGAATGAATCCAGGGGATGTGTATGTTGGGAAGTGCTCCACCACAGAGCTATGCCCTCAGTCCTATTCATTCTGAGACAGGGTCTCACTAAATTGCCCAGGTTCACCTTGAACTTGTGAGCTTTTTGTCTCCACCTTTCAGATGCCTAGATTTGTAGGCATGCACCACCTTGCTTGGCTTCATTTTAACGAAAAAACTATGTATTTCAAAGTGTTGATGCAGGCCTTGCCTTTCTTGGATCAGATCAGCACAGTGAGGCCACAAGTAGCACACTTCATCATTTATCCTCGGCTAAACCACAAAAGGGAAAACCTCTTCAAAGTCCTGAAGCTTTGAAGCTCCAAGAATAATGGTCACAATGTTAGTTATCAGTTCCATGCTGCTAATAAATAGTTACCCCTCAGTTGGGCAAGAAATAGCTTTGCGGTGTGACCCTTTGTCCTGTGTGTGAAGATACCGCCAAGCAGATAAAAGCCAGGAAGTTGTGGCCACAGGCCTGGCCAGGGGATTGGCCTGTGGGTTGCAAGAGCAGTTTTGGGCTTTGGGCTCAGTGCAGAGCTGTGGTGGCGGGGTGGGAGCTGAGAGCAGTGCAGGGCCGTGCAGCCTGTACGGTGGAGCGAGAGCCACCCTCCCACTTACGCAACTCTGGCTTCTGTTTTTAATATACATTAATTCTGACTCGTCATTTCTAGTGTTAACTGCTATTCTGTAACTTTTTACAGTTATCAACATGTTGAATGACACCTTACTTGAGTAAATTAGAGTTGGCTTATTTGTATAAAATAGTTAACAAGGTCAAAAAGCCTGCATCATTATTTTAAGGGTCAAACTTCAAGTAGCTTCCTTCTTTAAAGAAAATAATTCTCAAAAATGGCTTTTTAATATGCTTTTTTGTTGCCGGTATAGAAGTGTGCTGTGTGATGAGAACCTAGTACTGGCATCTGCAGCTGCTCTGTGGGGGATGCTCCGATGCACTGAGTTGATCACAGCTCTTCACATGGGGCCAGATCAGTGCCAGAGGCGGAGGACACACACTCGTGTCATTGGTGCACCGTGCATAATGTTTGGATGCCTTCTGAGGGGCTGGCACAGGCACACAGCACGTCTTCATTCCTTTTTCATCCCCCCCTCCCTCCCTTCCCTCCATCTCTTTGATCTCCTTTCCATTTGAGAAATTTCCGTCTCCCTACTTTTATTATCTGTCTTCTATTGTGCTCTTCAGGTATACTTTGCCTTTCTTCATATAAGAAAAATCGTACAGTGTTTAAGATGTGTCTGATTTATTTCACTTAATGTTATCATCTCAAGGCACATCCACTTTCCTACAAATGACTTGAGTTTATCTTTATGGAAGAATAGTACTATATTGTGAGTGAATATCACTTTTTCTTTCTCTGTTCATCTGTTGACAGACATGCAGGCTGCTTCCAAGATTTAACTATTATAAATTGTGCTGCTATAAACACGGGCACGCATGTATCACTGTAATATGATGTCTTTATCTCTTTAGGGAAAATACCTTGGAGGAGAACAGCTAGGTCAAATAGAATTTCTAGCTTTAGCTTTTCAAGGTCTCACAGTCTGATTTCCACGGCAGTTGTTCTAGTTTACACTAACAGTGTAGAAGTTCCTTTTTCTCCATATCCTCACCAGCATTTGTTACTATTTCTTGGTGATAGCTATTCTTTCTGGGGTAAGACAGAATCTCAGTTCCACTTCTCTAATGGCCAGCAAGGTTGAGCATTTCTTTAAGTATTTATTGGTCATTTGTTCTTTTGTGACATGTGTAGTCACTTGTCCATTTTTGATTGGGTCTTTTATTTGAGGGGTCAATTTGTTTTTAGTTTTTTATATATTCTAGATAGGAATCTTCTATCTGAGGACTAGCTTGCAAAAAATTTTTCCCATTCTGTAGGTTGCCTCTTACCTCTGTTGGTTGTTTTAGAGCCTGTCTTTCCTTTGGCTGGTACTTGGCAGCAGAATTCACCATATTTTTAAATCACATCTCATTAAGATACTAATGAAAGAGGACTTCCTGCTTCAGAAAGTGGCAGGAATGGTGGGATAAATGTCCTTGTTTTTTTGGGGGGTGAGAAGGATTAATGGCAGCGTGTCTCAGATGTTCTAAATTTAAACATTCCCTTATATTTGGATCTCCCCTGTGTATGCAATAAGAAATGAAACCCTTCTCCAGTGTCCCAGCTCTCCATAGAAGAAGCTCCTATATTAATCCAGAGTGAGGAGAAGGAGCCGTTTTCTTTTTTAGACATAAACTTGGTCATGCTGTGGATATATTATATAACTGGGCTTTGTCATGTACAGGACTTTTGTCCTCTTTCCCTTGTAGGTACACACAGACTTGCCTCATTTGTATGACTGTACTATGATTATTTTACACTTCCATAATATCACATATATTAGTTGTTCTGCAGATTCTTGCCATTGCAGGTCCTGCTGTGGTGGTGTGCTCATGGTATGTGTCACGTGTGAGTATTTAAGCTGTGCCCCGTGACTGTCTGAATGATGCCCATCCCCTGGGGACTCAGGATGGACAACATTCAGAGCAGTAATCTCGGGAAGGGGACACTGCTGGGCTGTGGTGCCACTGCCCTTTTATGGCCACTGAGATTGTTGTCACATCTTAATGGAAAGTTTTTTTATGTTATAATTCCATAATATGACTTTTCAGAGAATAATTATACTTGCAGGTCAACATCTCTTTTGAGCAAACTCTTATTTCTGAGTTGATTTATGTAAGCATTGGTGCACAACATCCGCAAGCTGGAGACTTAGAACGAGGTGCAGACCCCTGCGTAGCCAGGCACATCTACACTGCAGGTGGATGTTGCCATACCTGTGTGGCTGATCCCCAGTTCATATGCTGTCAGTGCCACATTTGTAGCAGTTTAGCATTAGGCCACCGGCCAGTTCAAGCACGGGTTCATAAGATGTAGTGTGTCTTAAGCAGATGCAGCATGTTTGGGCTAGTTTGGTTTGGGTTGAAAGTTTCACTAAAAACAAAATCAAGGCACCTCACTACCTGCAATGACACTGCTGTCCATCTTTATCCCCAGTGCTGGGACTGGTGCTTCCAATGTGGGCCATCGCGCTCATTTCCTTTGGCGTCGCTCTGTTCTTCGCCCTTTTTGTGTGGCTCTTCGTCTGTCCCTGGATGCGGCGGAAAATAGCAGGTAAGGACATTTTTTTCTGAATCACAAACATGCTCCTGGTTCTTACGACTACCATGTAAAAAGCAGGCATCCTCAGGAACAGGAGGTGGCAGTGTGGAACACTCCTGAATGTATGCTAGGCCTTCATCATGCCCTCTGCCTCCTGGCTGCTGACTGCTTTCAAGCTGGGACTTTTGTGACTAACTTGTGACCCACGTGAGCAGGAAGGTCCTCGCTGCCATGGGTAATTGGAAGTTAGCTGCGCAGCCGGCTATACCAGCCTAGTGGAAAAGTAGTCTTCAAGGAAATGCAAACTACTACAATAAGGTGTCCCCTCACACCCACAAGAGGGGTAGACGGGAAATACTAGAATTGTCGTACATGTACGGTGAACTTCAACGTAACACAACCTCTCTGTGCAGCAGCTCCGCACGAACTCTGTCCCTGCAGCAGCAGAGTGGGTGTTGAAGGCAGCTGAGTCACACAGTGCCTCCAGATATCACAGACTTTAGGGCTTTGTTTTGGTGACTTTCTGAAAAAGCCAGTATCACAGAGACAGGGCCCAGATTAGTGGGTGTCCTGGTTAGCACTGGGCAGAGCCTAAATGCACACCGCTCTGGGAGTACTGGGCCTCTTCCAGAGCCTGACTGTGCTGGTACTGACACAGATCCGAGCCTGTTTTAAAACCCACAAAGTCAGTTTACTAGATGTCAGTATTTTTAAAATTCACTTTATAGGGCCAGGAAGATGGCTTAGTAGAATAAGCACTTCCCTGGCAAGGGCCGGAGTTCAATCCCCGGTTCCGTAAAAATAAATAAATAAAAATAAATGAATTCACTTTAATGCATAATGGCAAGGCCACATTGCTAAGGCATTAAAAACCAGCTTCCTGTCTTTTCTGAGGGTAGATGCCACACACCCCCATTCATGCAGATTGGCCTAACATGAGCTGCTACCCACGGGCCCCCATGTGTCTGTATATCCCATGGGATGGTGAGCTGGACCCCGTGTTTTTTCTGTTAACTAAAATGAATGTCAGGATGGGAATCTTTGCCACCCAGCTCCAGGCTGTAAGTTAGCAGGAGGCACTGTCATTGTCCGTGCTGCTTAGCCCCCCTTCTGCTCTATGCCCATGATCGCATGCTCACTGAAGTAGCCTTGTTCTGCCTTCACAGCTGTTACTGGGTTTAGTGCTGGACTTCTGTTCAATGCATGATTAGTCTCAGGTTTCTTTATCGTGCCAAGACTTATGATACAAGTAAATTTTTTCCTCAGAAGGAAAAGGGGGATTCTGTGAAGTTTAAAATGTCCTCTCTGCTTTGAAAGAAACAAGGGCTAATCACAGTGGCACACACCCCTAACCCTGGCTACCCGGAAGGATGATGCAGGAGGATTACATGCCAACAGTTCAGAGAGATGCTATCACAGAGTAAACAATAGATAGGGCTGAGGCTACAACATAGTGGTAGAACACCTCTGGATTGGATGAGACTGACAGACAACTTGTGGACAGACAGATATAGACAGATGAATGAATAAAAGCAAGATATGGCCTTAGTTCCAGTTAACTTGGGAGGCTGAGGCAGGAGGATGGCTTCTTAAAACCTAAACCAAAACAAAATAAAACAAGGGATTTCTTTAAAAAGTTATTTTAAAGTTCAATAGACTTCTTTTAAATAAAATCTGATATAAAGTGGTGCTAATTTATCCTGCTACTTGAAAATTATTCTGAATGAATTTCTAAGTTCTTACCTATAGCACTGAAATAAATTAAACTCAGTGCATCTTCTGCATATGCTCACACATAATCCCCATTACCTATATCTACCAGTGGTTCGTTTTTATTTAAAAGAAAACGATAAAACAAAATTTCAAATCAGCATAATAGGAGGGTCACAATAGTTAATATGTTGTATACTATCTTTAACTTTGTTACTTAAAGTGCAAGATATAGGCCTCTAGTTATCTGAACAATAGCACTAACCTTTTCAATGAACTAAGAGAAATTAGTAGTATAACTATCTTACATATACTTTTTTTTTTTTACATATACTTTTTATTTTGGTTTTCCCTTCTTTCCTTTCATCTTACCCCCTTCCCAGTTTCTCCTTCCTTTTGAACAGTTTATTCATTGGTCATTGGAGAGATGCAAATTAGAACAACACTGAGATTCCATCTCACTCTAGAGGGGCTGAAGAGATGGCTTGGTTGAATAAGCGCTTCCCTGGCAAGTGCAAGGGCCTGAGTTCAATTCCCGGTTATGCAAAAAAAAAAAAAAATGATAATAATAATAATAATAATATCTGTTGTACATTTTGGATCTTATCTACATAACAGATGCTGGCAGGGTTCTGGGGAAAAAGAAACCCTCCTTACTGTGTTACATAAAAAGTAGTACTCCATTATATAAAAGACCACATTTTTTAAATCCATTTCCTAGTTGAAGGACATTTGAATTGTTTTTAAGAGATAGCTATTACAAATTGTACAGCTACAAACATGGGTGAACATATATCACTGTGGTATGATGTTTGTAATTCTTCTGGGAAGATACCCAGAAGGGGAATAATTGGGTGGAATGGGACTTCTAATTCTAGTTTTCTTAAGAAACCTCCGCACTGATTTCTACATTGGTTGCACCAGTCTATACTTGCAGCAACAATAGGGAAGTATTTATTTTTCCCCAAAACCCTTCCAGCATCTGTTATTCGTTGATTTCTTGATCATATCCATTATCCATTCTTTTCTAGGGGGAGATTGGGTTTTTTGTTTGTTTGTTTGCGGAACTGAGGATTGAACTCAGGCCCTTGTGCTTGCCAGGGAAGCACTTATTCTATTCTGGGGAGCCATCTCCCCAGCCCCTCTAGGATGAGATGGAATCTCAGTGTTGTTCTAATTTGCATCTCTCCAATGACCAGTGATGCTGAACATTTTTTTCATATATTTATTTGCTATTTGTATTTCTTCATCTGAGAAGTGTGTGTTCATCTCAGATGCCCATTTGGATTGGGTTTTTAAATTTGGGAGGTCTGAGTTCTTTATATGTTTTCCATAATAATCTTTTGTCTGAGGAACAGCTAGAAAACATTTTTTCCACATTGTGGGTTGTCTCTTCACTCTTTTAGTGGTTTCTCTTGATGTGAAAAAGCTTTTTAATAAGGTAAGATATGAGTTGTTGATTCTTTATGATAGTTCCTACGTGATCAGGGTTTTATTCATAGTCTTTGTCTACACCAGTGTCTTCAAGAGTTTTATGTGGTTTATCTTCCAGTAAATTTAATGTTTCTGTTTTAATATTTATACCTTTGACCCATTTGAAATTTAATTTAATGTATGGTGAAAGATATGGGCCCAATGTTAATCTTCAGCATGTGCAGAACCAGTTTTTCCACCACCATTTATTAAAAAGCCTATCTTTCTTCCAGTGAATGTGCTTGGCACTTTTATCAAAGATAATGTGGCTGATTATGTCTGAAGTTGTTTCTGCATCTTCTAATCTGTTCCATTGATCTTTGGATCTTTTTTCCCCCAGCACCCTGCCGATTTTATCACAGTAGTTTTGTAGTTTAGTTTCAATTCAGGGACTGTGATGTCTGCTTCCCGGCCTTTATTGCCCAAAACTTCCTTTGCTATTCTAGGTTTCTTCTGATTCCAAGTGAATTTTAGATTTATTTTCTCTAATTCTACTATTGGAATTTTGATCAGAATTGCATTAAATCTATATAACAGTGCCGCCACCTGCACTGCTCTCAATGGTCTTGGGGAAAAATGGTGAGGAGATTTAGAAAAATAGACAAGAGACAAAAGCTGAAGTCAGGTTGAGGCCTCTTTGCAGATGGGAGTACAGGAACTGTACAAGCACTGTAGAGGCATTTATTTGTGCTCTTTACAAAGTTAGTATCACCCACACAGGGTTGCCTATGATTAATGACTGGAATTGTCTCAAACAAGATGCTTTTCTCAGGACCTAGGTAGCTTGACTGTTTTAGGCACTTTGGTCCCACCTTACCCCCACAACACACATGTGCCAATCTCCAGCCTCAGCTACTCCCTACATGACAGTTTTGGAAGTATGTCCATCTGTACTATATTGGTTCTTACCTATGAACAAGGACTATCTGTTGTATGTTACGGGTCGGTGCCAAAAGAAACAACGAGAAGACCTGATGAATGTAGCTTCAGAGGGCTCACTGAGATTAGTCTCTCTCCAAGTGAGCCCAGAGCCTCAGAAGCATCTCACATTTATTGAGGGGTAAAGGCAAACTAAGGAATGTGCATAATTACCTAAGTGAATACAAACTACTATCTCTATTAACTTCCACCATTTGCTTAACACTAGGCTCACACAAATGCTAGCCGATAACATCCCAAGCAAGGGATCAAAGGACAGGGTGCCTGCGGGAGAAGCTGTTATCTGCTGCCTTGGGTCCCAGCTTGCTGGGAATTTGCAAACATCAACCCTCCTCGGGCTCAGTCCAGTGTTCCCTGCTCTCTTGGGACATCAGGCTTTTGTCTCAAAACTATATCTCTACAACTATCTTTCAATTTTATAATATCTTCTTCACTCTCCTTTTTCAGAGTATGAGGTTTTCAGTGTGGAGGTCTTTTTTCTTCATTAGATTAATTTCTAGTTGTTTCATTTTTTTGGATGCTATTGTAAAAGGTGTTGTTTCTCTAAATTCTCTCTCAGTGAATATGTTATTCATGTGCAAGAATACTATTGAATTTTGAGTGTTGACTTTGTATCCAGCTACACTACTGAATTTGCTTATTAAATCTAGAAGTTTTTTACTGGAGTTTTCGGAGTTTTGTAGGTAGAGTATCATGTCATTTTTAAATAATGATAATTTTACTTCTTCTCTTTCTATTATTGTTTTTTTTTTTTTTCCAGACTGGGGATCAAACTTGGGACCTTGTTCTTGCAAGGCAGGTGCTTAGGCCACTGAGCTATCTCCCTGGCGCTCCTTCCTATTATTATTCCTTTTATTTCTTTCTCTTGTCTAATTGATTTGGCTAAAGTT